CCCCCGCTCCACCGCCGCCGACGACCCCCCGCACCCTCCCACGCTCCATCGTCACAAATGAATGCAACTAAAAATCCAGAAAAAAACAAATTTGATTATATTTTCAAATAAAAAATTTGATGATATTTTCAAATAACAAATTTGTTGATATTTTCAAATAACAAATTTGATGATATTTTTTATATTCATAAATATTTTCGAATAAAAAATTTGATGATATTTTTAAAAAAAATATTAATATTTTTATGAAAATTTATTACTGTTTCATATTCATATTCATTTTCTAAAAAATTGTTAGATGCAACAAAAAAATTACTTATGGCGCACCGCTGGCTGGTGCGCCATTGCTATCTAAAAAAGATTACTTATGGGGCACCGATCGGGGGTGCGCCATTGCTATAAAAAACATACTAATGGCGCACCGCCAAGGGGTGCGCCATTAGTAATCTTCCCCCCTAGCTTATTCGCCTGTCGCTCCACACCCGCTCCAACGACCCCCGCGCCCCGCCTCACCGTCTCGGTCCTCGCCGCCGACGGCCTGCCGCCATGACTGCCAACCCGACCCACTGCGCTGACCCACTGCGCCACCGCCCCACCCACTGCGCCGCCGCCCGGTCTCCTCCGCCCGTAAGCCCCCCTCCTCCTCCGCCCGTCCATCGCCTTCGGCCTCCTACCCATAACTGACTCGACTCCCCTGGGCTCTGCATAGAGCACAGGGCCCGCTGCTACGTCGCCATCGCCGTCATCCTTGACCGCCTCTCCCCTCCTCTGAAGAAGGAGCACGGGGCCCGCTGCTACGCCACCATCGTAGTCGTCCTGTCCGATTGGGAGGAGAAGGGGACGCACCCTTGTCCTCAGCCCGCCATCGACGCACCCTCGTCCTCAGCCTGCCATCGACGCACCCTCGTCCTCCACTCCTCCACGGTGAGCCATCCTCTCTCTTCCAACTCCCTGTTCTGAATTTGTACTACCAAGTCTGAATTTGTACTGCCAGGTCTGAAATTTTCGTCATTCACTACAACAGGACCCCCCTACAACAACGCTTTTTTCGTATCTAAATGTCCATATATGCGTTTTTAATGTCTTTACCAACGGTTTGGGATCCGTGGCCTTATCCAGTGTTGCTAGCGCAAATTGCAACGCTTATACCATCGTTGGTAAAAGGGACTGTTGCAAGTATGCAACACATAAAACGGACTTATGCAACACTTCTATATGTTGGTGCATAACGTACAGGAATCAAAATGCCATTGCCGCGCAAAGGAGAATTGGCACCGCTTCAAGTCTTGTACATATATGATATGAATAATGATATTTTATATATATTGCCCGCAATTAAATTAATGCTCCACATAATATTGATAATTATGTATTTCAAGTGAACAATAAGCAAGAGAATATACTCTCAGGAGGAATAAATCATATATTATATAAAACCGTTGAATTACAAGAGTGCATATTACAGGAGGAACATTATCCAAATGTGATGCATAATCTACATAATTATTTGACAACGAAACTTACACTGAAAGCATCCAACAACATCACTACAACTAAACACTTGAACAAGGAAGATCATCTAACAGGAACATCCCTACAACTAAACTAAAACTGAAAACATCCATCATCATCATCATCATCATCAGGAACAAGAACATCATCATCATTGTAGTGTACTTGCCACATACCCATATCATCCATTTATCCTTTGAACCTACAAACAAAAAGAATGAGCTGTTAACACATAATGCATTGACATGTTGCAAGTAGTGATAGAGGTAAGTTATTACTCACCAACAAAGGGTTGAAGGCCGTACAATCTTTGTTTTTCTGCATTACCACGAATATTGCAATTTTTGCGACTTCGTACCAAGACTTAAGTTTTCACAAGTGCCGTATCGACATGCACTTCCCATTATTTATTTGTAAGTTCAGCACCATCAAGTTTAAATTTAGGATTACAACTTACAACTGTAGCAAGAACTGCATCTCCGTTATGATTTTGTAGGCTCTTCAAGAACACTTTAGTTCCTACCTGCTAGTGAAAATGAAAGTTATATGTGATCGAAATGAAAGAACTCATAAAGTAATTATGAAAAAGCTTCATAAATACTAGTATTATAGTCCCTCCATATGGAAGATGAAAGGATAATAGTCCTAAGTGAGGCTGCTGAAACAAAGCAATCAAAATTTTGCTTGTACCTCGATCAGACACCAACATATGGGAAACGCTGGATTGTTGAGGTCCATGACCAACAAACAAATATGTAGCACCATCTTTAAAAAAAATCATTGACATAAATCAGAGGAAGTAGATTAAATTTAGTTAATAAGTACTTTATACAGTAGATTGTATTTCATAATAGTACTGCCTGATCAACTAATTATATGATATTCATAATTCTAGAAGTACATGGAAGTAACTGCTACGGGAGGAAAATTTGAGTTTTTATCTATATGTAAATCATATGAACCCCAACATCCCTTGCCATTCACCTGATGAAAATACTTGGAACTTAGTTGACCGGGTTGGATACATAAAACTGATGAATACTTGGCATTAAAACTGATGAAGAACGAACTTAAATGCCAGCATCTGACTTTGGAGGGGTTGTAGTTTGGTCAGAGCTACACACAAAACCTTCATCCCACATCATAAGTGGAAGCAGGACTTAATCCTTGTGTTCTCCAATAATGGAGAAGACTGCTTGAATCAAAGAGCATGCAGACGAACAACAATAAAACCTACTGTCAAACAGGGCCATAAACCTTTGGCGGACACCATATTCATCAATGCTTTGCCACCCTGAAGAACATTTGCCAATGCTTAGATGGATTAGGAGTCTCATTCATAGAAGTCAGATAATTCACCAAGTGTTGTAGTGAAGGTTTAAATTCATTTTTTTTCTAGTGTATCAAGCATCACTACAGTAGCCTGAATCTTGACTCTCTTTTTTTTGCCTGGCAATCTTGAATTGTTTCAGCATGTCCAGATTTTAAACAAAACTAAACAGCAAGAAACAAAAACAGACATGGAAACAAACTTAATCTGGTGAAAACGAGGCTAAGCTGGTCTCTTTATCATCATCAAAACTGAAAGAAGTTTTGTTATTTGAGATCCAGTACATAGACTAAAGGGAACAGTTTTCGTAGTTTTAATGATAATGAACTTAATAACATCACGAATAGCTGACATATTAGTTTCAAAACTCAAGATGAAAGATTAAGACTTAAGATATGTCGTTCACATAACTTGAAGAAAAAATTACAGGGATAACCACTTCATTGTATCCACTAATAACAACTGCTGCATTGCTAAGTAGGATTTAATAAGAACTGCACCAGATAACTCAGAAGTTTTCACCTAAATGCAGAGAAGCAGTGTCTTTAATAAGTTTCTGAGCCTGAGATTGGCTGGCATATTTGAGAACTGCAGCACAAGAAGACGCAAAGGCCCTGTTGGCTGTAGAACTCCTTTCCTCCAGAACAGGAGTGTAAAGTAATTTCAGTAACATCACCATGTATGGCTTGATGTTAATCATGACCTTCTGTACCAGCAAGGTGATGAAGCTAGCAACACTAACCCTGAAATCAGACACGTAAACAAAGACAGGGTAAGATTATAGTAAGTGAAGTGAAATAATACGTCATATCATCAATACTACAAGGTCCGTATTAGCATGAAAACTAACCTTGTATTAGGCTTTGGGGCTAGTGGCGATGGACCAACTGGGAATTGCAGGAGGTACTTTTAAACTGAGATGCTTGTTGGAGTAGAGTTTGAGACCCAGGTTATATGAATTGACGTGATGTTCCTTGCTCAAACAACACCGACACTGCTATTAATACATAATGTCTACTATACCTGCAAAATAAATTGGATGTACAGATGTACACACACGACCTAACATGGATCCGCCGGTGGCCGGCACGGCTGCTACTGTTGCTGGATGGAACGAGTGATACGGTTGCGTGTGCTTGTCAAAAAAATCTCAAACTTGTTGGCAGGCTTGGTGTGCGTGTCCATACCTTGGATCCATCGTTGGTCTTAGGGGAGCGGTGACGAGGGGCGGCGCGCCAGGATGCAGGGTCGCACAAGAGTGGTGTCGAGGGACGGTGCACCGGGACAAAGGATCACAGGGGGTGGTGAGGGACAGCGCACCGGGACAGAGGACCGCAGGGGAGTGGTGAGGGGCGGTGCGCCGGGATGGAGGTAGGTCGTAGCCGCGCAAAACAGTGGCAACGACTGACGAGAGGCGGCGGCCAGCGTGGGAGGGCTCAAGAGGAATAGAGGAGGTTGTGGACAGGGAAGCCTAGGTCAACCGTGAAAGCCAACTTGAGCTGGGCTAGATAAGATGTTGGGTTAGTGCATTGGGCTTTACACAAATCTACAACGCATATGCTGCAATGCTTATATTCGTATCTATGGTAAATTTTACAACACATAGGCAAAACATTGTAGACTAGGTGTTGCTTTATAGGGGGTATTCTTGTAGTGATTATTCTTAAGTCTGAAGTTAGCTGAACACTTAACTAAAACATTTCTGTCAAACTAAAGCAAGCAAACACTTAACTGAATTTGCAATGACAGGCTCTTTCACCAATGTGAAAAACTGAGGGTAAGAACTAACAATGTGCATAACTGGATTTTTGGTCTAACACCAAGATCTCCTTCTCCTGATCAATTTAACGAAACCCACTGTTGACTATACCAATTGAACAAAGCTACAGGGTACATTATGTTAAAGATTCCCTACTTTAGTTATTTTTAGGAAGAGCACTTAAAATTTTTTGTCAACATTGATTTATGAGGGTCAACATTGATTTAGCTGCAGGTTACATTTTGTTCAAAGTATCACGTCATTAGAAGAGGTGTATCTTTGCTGCATGTATTTTCAGAATTGAACTAACAGGTGTATTACTTGAAAGTGGTACTAGTAGCTGGGATGGGGTGGGTGGGCGTGGGCTGTAGTATTTTTTTAGAGCATCTTTGTTGGATGTATGTTCATAAACGTGTTAACAAGTGTATTATTTATAGTAGTAGTTGCAGATGGTTTCTCTTGTCTTAACCGAATAATAATGTACTACATAGTGTTATTGTTTTCTTCATAGTTTGCAGCATTTTCAGATGTACACTGTTTTCCTATGTCTCAAAATGTTCCTAATTTGATATTTGAAAGTAAGTGTGTGGTTTGAAATTTTGTTCTGATTATGGCATCTAGAATTATGTCTGTTTTGTTTTGTAACTAGAAGACCAAAGTGTGTTACTCACCTGGGATCTTAACTGTTAATTTTGTAATATTCCTTATATTGAAATCGAACATGATGGTGCTACTTGATATTTTTGAGACATGGCATCTCCCATGACTGAATCAGCAACAACGGGAGTTGATTCCATTTCTTGGTTTCCGTAAGAATTTAATGGACCTGGGCCTAGTTAAGTATAGGCTTGGGCTTGTGGTTGAATGCTACCATTGTCCTAGCCATGTGTTTTTCAGAATTGAGCTAAAGATTTGGGGGCTAGTATTTCTGATTATAGAGCACCTTTGCTGGATGTATTTTACAGCAGCTGTCGGAATCAAAACAATGCTTGTGGGTTGTCCTGTTAAGTTGAGTGAGTCATTAGAGGGCAGATAGAGTCACCCACACCAATTAATGTTTATGAAGAAGAATAAACATGATGTTGCTGCTGTTATGCCTGTATTCACTGCTGCTGCTGTACTTGTGATGATGTTGTACTTGTGATGATGCTACTTGTGATCTTCTGAAATGACCCATTGGCGACTTCATTACGCGGGGATAATAATTTTGCAGGTACCCCGAGAGGCCCTTGAGTTTGCCGGAATGTCGATTAACTTCCGTTCCGGCAAATTTGGGTACTCCAAATGTCCTATTTTCAGCAAAGGTAATGCTGAAATTTTCCGTGAATTTTAGCATGACTTTGCTAAAAACAGGACATATGGGGTACTTGTGACTAATGCATGGGCCGGGGTATCTTAGTACTTAATTAAGTAGGATCAACTGCCTCAGCGTCAACCTAGCTAGGGTGCCTCGGCATCAATAAACCCTAAATGATGAAAACTTAACTTAGCATTTAGGGTGCCTCAGCGTCGACAAACCCGAAATTATAAAACATTGGCTTTTAGGGTGCCTAAGTGTCGATAAAAACCTAAATGATGAAAGCTTAGGATTTTAGGGTGCCTCGACATCGACAAACCCTAAATGATAAAAGCTTAGCTTTTAGGATGCCTCGGTGTCTACAAACCCTAAATGATGAGACCATGATCTTGTTCCTTGACAATAACCAACTTTTTGACCAAATTTTTTTCCTATTTAGAGCGAAACATGGACCACAACGATGAGGTCGGCGGTTTAGGCAAGCAATTCTGGGAGCTGTCCCAGGAGATGGAGGAAGAACCTCACCGCTATGAGGACGCCACGGAAGACACCGATCCTGACTACACAACCCCTAGTGGCATCGGGGATGACACCACTGATGGTGCTGCCGAGGATGCCACCACTGATGATGGCAGCGCACGCACAGATGGCAGCCAACCAAAGAGGCAACGGAAGGACCGGCGCCCCAACGTGTTCCGCACCGTGAAGGAGGAATTTACTCAAGTGAACTCCGATGGGCATCCAACGACGCCCAAATAATTAGTCAAGGGGTACTCGCTTCAGCTCGGGTGCATTATCCGGAGCACCGTCTCGATTAACACCGAGAACATAAGGCATAAGGACCAAGGGAATTTGCGCAACCTCCTCTTCACAAAGCTGCACGAACGATACAAGTTCCCCGCTGACTTTGCAAACACACGCCTCTCAGGGAATAACGTGAACAATGCTGCCCTCACGACGATGAGCACGGCCCTGTCTACTTGGAGAAGCGCGGTGAAGAGAATGATTGACAAAGGTGATAGTTATGAGAAGATCAAGGCGAAAAATCCTTCGATCAGCGAAGATGACTAGAAGTAGTTCAAGATCAAGTGCGAGAGTAGCGCAACCTCCGAATCAAGTCAGCGGGGGAAAGAAATGCGGGAGTTGAACTTAGGGGAACACAAACTCGGTGCCGGCGGTTACAGAGTGGCGGAGCCTATATGGGACAAGGAGGACGCAGACACAAACTCGGTAACGCCCCGCTTCGAGAAATATCGTGACAAGCAGACCAGGAACTATGTCAGGGCCCGGTACAAGGAGAACCGGGTAACAAAGGAGCTTACCACGGATCCGAAGACCAGGGCGCTTGAGCTTTTTCTGGTAAGGAATACACCCCCGCGTAATTAGCTCCATATGGTTGCATTCTAATTAATGAAGCCAAATTTCTAAATGGTTCACATTCCTTCTGCAAGAGACTGAAAGCAGTAGCGCGGGGTCGTCTCAGAGCACCCCTTGGGACAACACTCTAAATAGGGCATTGAACGTAATGAAAAACAAGGATAAGCTCAGTAAGCCGTCGTCAGCTGGTCGTGTGGCCGGCAAAGGCTTGTCCACAAAATGGTCATCATACTATAACGATGGAGGGCGAAAGGAGAGAAAGACCAGATCGGAAAGCCAGTCGCGCGAGGTTCAAGAACTCAAGGCATAAGTGGCACGGATTCCGGAGATTGTCCAAGAGCAATTTCAACAACAACTGGGATCGATGCTCACCGCCATTGTGCCTACCTTGATTCAGGAGATGACGACGTGGATTGCGGGCGGCCAATAGGGGCCGCCCCCGGTTCCCAGCTTCACGGCCAGCAACTCGCACAACGCGCATGCGACGCCATTGGTGTATCCGACGCCGGCACGGGTATTGGAGCTTAATGCGCCCGGGTGTACACCGGCCGGCACATCGGCAGCAAGCGGCCCCTCCGTCAGTTGCACGCCCGCCGTTGGCGGTGCCTCGACATTAGCCGAGCTCGATGCCATCACGGTAACTAATTAAGCCTCTCGGTCGATGACTTCATCTCCTTGCCTTTGACTGGGCATCCCTGACGCCCTACATGTTTTTGCAGGGCGCCACCGATGTTCCACGCACTCTCCTGCACTTCGTGGGCGGCGAGTTGGTCGATGTCCCCAAGGGCAGAATCATTCAACCGGGCAACCCCGTGTTCCACGGTAATCCGATGCCACCCACCGTGTATAGGGTTGAATTGGTTCGGGTGCTGCCAGGATGCGACGAGTTGTTACCTCCGATTCGACCCGCTGGGGCCGACGAAGATGATGTGATGACCATCAGCGCCTGCATAAGCTGGCCCCTGCTTTGGCCGAAGAGCCAGATTCGTTTGGGGGTGAGGGACACCACCCCACAGACAACACCGCCACTCGTGCCAGCGCTAAGCCATGGCAAGACCGCCGCAACGCTACTGGACATGCCGGACATCCCTATGGCACAGGATCTGAACATGCATGTGGCACAGGATCCGGACGACAACGACAACGACGATGGTACATTTACCAAGTCGATAAGTACTTTGCCGAACATGGGTATGGTGACAAATTCTTCGGGCCTCCTTCTCAAGAACCCAACCCTGAAAAAGACGACCACGATCATGCTGGTACC